TTAGAAAATATTTTGGGCAAAGCAGCATGGGTGTTCATTCTTTTTAATAGGTGATTTGTGTCCTATGAGAGTTTCTATTAGGTTGAGCACACGCATTCTAAATTTCTATTATCTTTTCATTCAGTGCACAGTAAATAAACAAATTATTGANATAAGCGTCCTGTAGTGTCACCATGCCCAAACCGGATAAAACTTCCAAAAGGTTTTGGCATATAATTAAAGCCGAGAAGCAGCTAAAACGAGAGGCGCATGAATCTGCCGGCTCAGTTGATATCTTGTGGAAGCGCTTCTATGTGAACATAAGTCCAATTTTTTACATATTCAACGAAATATATATATATATATATAATTTAGCATTGGTTAAATCTTCAAGTTTGTTCAATGTCTATCAAGTTGTTTTTCCGATTGTTTAAACAGTTGGATGGATGATGAGCAGCATTGACTTTTTTACAAAGCTAGTGTACCTAAGTTTGTTACTGTTGTCTTGATGACGCAAAATTCCCTTTCATTGTGGCTATCTTCTGCAGCTGGAAATACGTACGCAATACTAGGCTTGTATTACACCTGACACTGCTCCTCGGTTATTAACTGGATGAATTATTAACTGGTTTATTCTAAAATACGCTCTACTTGCTCCGGCCTCTTTTTCACCCGATTGTAGCTATCCGACGAAAAGAGAACGGCTGGTACGATGAGGATCATCCGTTGGTCTTTCTCTTCTTAGGCTCGTCCGGTATCGGGAAGACGGAATTGGCCAAACAAGTGGCAGCCTATTTGCACAAAGACTCGAAGAAAGGCTTCATACGAATTGATATGTCTGAGTATCAGCAGAAACATGAGGTATGCAGTCTGATCAATTAGAGTGACATTGGAGGCAGGTGGCGATTTGGTACATTCACCACAATGAACCAACGAAGCAAAGTGGTTATTGACACAACTCACCACCACGTACTTATACAAATTGTACGCGAAGCTAGAATTTGTTTACTACCGCGTAGCTATCGCTGCTACTATTTCAACTCGTTTATCCGTTCTTGTACCAAATGTTCTGGTTGAAAACAGAAACCGAAGTCGATACCCTAAAATGAACTGAACTGACTAACAGGATGGTATGAATGGCTCTCCCGTCTCCCGCAGCAGCACCACTCGTTTGTCTGGCCCAGCGCTCTGAGTCCCTAGGATAAATTACCAGCGTTTCTTTTGCAGGATCACCGTGAGAACTAAAATTATCGGTTCAGTTAATCGTGTTCACTATCAAACGGATCCAACTCACCACTTAGTCTCATTTGACAATATATCCTCCGAACATGAAGTTTATCCGCCATACTGTAAATCCCAGTTATTATGCAGGAGCAGTGCAGTATACTTATAGTTCATATGCTTACCAAGTAACTGCTAACCTAGGTGTTTTTAGTTTCATGAATACAAGCTTGGTAGGGAACGGATCTACTGGGTCTCTCAAGTCGGGATTTTGGAAGTTAGCTTCAGGAATCTCCCTCACAGCCTTCGAGTTACAGGATGTTGACTTGAATTCCTTGTCGCTTGAATCATATCTCTTTCCTGGATTGAAATACTCGACTGATGGTCAACCGGAACGCTTAACCAAGTAGGGCATTTGAACTACGTCTCTGCTCTACCTTTTTGATCTTTCAGGTATGATGAGGCTACTGTTTGGGCAATCCCTCCAGTTTATCTCACCGGATCTTTGTTTCCCTGAGGGAATCGCATTGCGTCATAGTGTACCGATTGAGGCTACCAGTTTTCGTATACCGTCACGTGAATGTAAATCTGGTGGCATATGTTCCTAATTGATGTACTCTCGGTCCTATGATGAGCCACTGTTGTAAAACTACAAGGTCCTAATCGGCATTTCATGTTGAGTGTTCTTTTCACTCAAGTTCAACTTTTCTCGATCTGAACCAAAAGTATCACTTATTGTGTCTTTCTTTCGATGATCTTTTTTGTGACCTTCATTTTGTGTGTTGCACTTTTCTACTCGGTTTGTTGTTACTGGTTCAGAGCTATCATTTTTATGTGTTTTTATCACGTTGCCGTGTAATCGTTTATTGACCCAGCATGTTCTCGAAATTAGTATAGTGTTGTTGATTGGGAACGATGTTGTTGTAGGACTATTGGGAACAAGAGTATCCTTTTGCGTCACTCAACGCGAAATGCTTTGACGAAAACTAAACCACTGTAAATTGTCTGTTAGGCATCCAGACATCTCCATTCAGGTTTCGATTGCAAAAAAAGCTTGATCAATGCGCCAGAAGCGTTCCAAAGGGTAGAGTCCTTCAGCAAGAAAGAAAATAAAAGCGATGACTTTCCAAGACATTCAACATGAAATGTTAACTTCGTCTTTATATACTATCATGTTTTCCCTTGAAACATCCAGCAAATCAGTTTAAAACGTTTTAAAGGAATCTCCCTGCGTATCCTAAATCTTATAACGTGATCTGCACACTTCTCCATGGGCCTCCTCAGAGGTAAGCATTATAACATTAGAAACATTTCCTATCGCTCAATCAACTGCTCCCCGCGTTTCACGCTCATAACTTTTTAATGTCATAACTGCTTTGTTGACGCTTTTTCCTTTCCTCCCAGTTCTCTTGCTTTGATCGAGGTGTATCCGTATGTATTCTTTTCAGTTTAGAACGCATACCTAGCCGAGTGTTTAGGGTTTATTATTCGAGAGTACTCGCATGCACTCCCTCAGTGTAACTCTTCATTAACCTGTTCCGTCTCGGTTTTCCTTTTTCCTCAGGTTTCCAAATTCATCGGTTCACCGCCGGGTTACGTGGGGCATGAACAAGGCGGTCAGCTGACACAAGCTTTGGCCACCTGTCCGGATGCCGTTGTCCTGTTCGATGAAACAGAAAAGGCACATCCGGATGTTTTGACTGCCTTGTTGCAGTTATTCGATGAAGTACGCCTTTTATTATCAAATATCCTCTCGGAAATGCCTACTTAAATAAGACTATGCCAGCAATTTATGCAACAAGGAATACTGTCTTGTTTCCCAAACCAATGTGGCTAAATTTTCCTGGCTATTCACTATCAGTACCTATGGCTAGACTAAACCTAACCCGCAAGGCACATGTGCCATGTGAAATTCACAGTCCATTGGGGTCTGGTGTCGCAGTTGCAATCATTGCTGCTTTACGGTTGCAAGACCTTAAATTTGCGCTTGGAAGGTATTCATCGTCTGCTGGTGGCGCAGTGATTTGTTCCCTGTCAGCGGCGTGTTTTGGACCCTTTGGTCCGAGGCTTAAGCCATGTCACTGTCACTCAACTTTGGTAGTAGACAGTTTTGGTGTTTTCCGGTTCAATACCGTGCCTAATCTAGAGGGATCTTGTGTGTTTCGTCACTTCAAGTTTCAGAGCTTAGGTTATCAGTTTCCACCACTGAACAGCAGGTCTACGTGACTATGGGGTTTACTCCGTCTGCTGTTCATCACAAAACTGCATGTACTATAAATATTCACGTAATTTGGCGTGGATTGAATGGAGCGAGCGTGTAAGCAACTCTGAAGTAAACCGTCTCGTAGTCGGTAATGATTCGGTTGAAAACTCGTTATCGCATCGAAGTCAGAATAATGGGCTTCGCTGGTTAGGACACGTATTGCACTATCGTCTACTGCACAGCGCCTTTGCAGTTGGTACTCTAGGTCGGAGGTCAACAGATGACGTAGAAACAAGGCACGATGAAATATACAGAGCGATTAGGTAGAGTGAGTGCCTAGTGTTTTCCAGGTTTGAGTCCAAAGGCGGACTGTCTCGTTGGATTTACGGAAAGATTAGACAACTTACCCATTTCCGGGGCGTTCTTGTTGTCACTTATCAGATTAGAATGCATGCTTGGTTAGATGGTGTACTCTATTTGTTCGCCATAGAAGTTAACTTCCCTTTCCGTGAAACCAGGTCCGATTCCCGTCTATCATATTCTCACAAACGTGGTGTGAATCACAAATTTCCTAGCGATCAGTGAAGTTCGCTTCACTGTATCTCACTGTTCGATGTTACTGTCGATGTCGCATCATAAATGTCCCGGGCCTAGTTCACATTTACAAGGTGCTTGATGCACCTGATCACCCAGTCGAGTGAGTATCCATCGCGATCAGCATGTTTGTACCGCAGAGCAGACTTACTGTACATGGATTTGACGATCAGAATTGCTATTGTTTAATGTGCTATACATCTAATTTAGTCGTATGTTATTGTGATAACGGGCGTGGCTTATTGAATGCCATAGTTTCGGTTGATTACGCTTTAATCCGTATTTAGAATAATACCATAAGTCTGATCAATATAGTATTTGTTTAGAATGGTTTTAGAAAGCTTCCTTCTTTATGAAGATGTATCCATCATGCAGATTCTATGTGTCGCTCATCACTGACAAGCCTTAAAAATACTGGACATCTGTGCCATCCAGCGTTTCAGGCATCGTGAGCTTTTTAAATTTATGCATCAGCGCTATAGCCTGTATTGTTCACGTGCAGCGAGCTGCTGAGACCCTATGCGATTACCTCATCGGGCTGGCAACTCCTCCTACTCGGGTTCAAATCCTAATGGGTTTGGTGAATGTGCATTGCTCACGATTCGTAACAAGCTGGATAAGGTAGCTGCACCACCTCTCCATGTTTCATCAGCGGTGACTGACAGAATCACTCTGTGTGACGACTACATTTTCACAACTTACTGTTCAACACACATTTTGCTGTTAATAATCACAAACTCTCGTGTTTGCAGTTCCTCTGGTTCAACCACAGAGTGGGTTTGAAGCACTTGAATCATTTATAAATTCTGCTTCGCCCATGGACACTCAATCAAATCACTCAACCAGTACCGCATTTTCCTTCATGTTCAGGGTCGACTCACCGATGGTCAAGGTCGTACAATCAACTGTAAAAATGCCATTTTCATCATGACTTCTAACGTGGGCAGTCAGGTGATTGCAGAGCACGCTCAAGCGTTACGCAGTGCCTCGGGTGATTCAGGTGAGACAAAATCGATCAACAGTAACTTATCAGTTGTTTATTTCAGTTATTTCTAAATCAGCACTTGATCCTCTGTAAACAGATCAACTGACATGTGCTGGCTCCGGCACTGGATTCTTTCTCAAGATTCTGTTCTTTTTATCGATTTTGACGTCGACCCGCTTTCCCGCCCCCTCGAAAATCAACCAGATTAATAAAGCGCCACTGATGCGTGATGGTTGCTGCTAAATTTCTTTGTGTGTATCTTGTGCAGTCTGGTTATAGACACATCTTCGTACGCAAAACTGAATGTGGCGATAATGAATGCGCTACATATTTTGGTGGACTAATACGTGATTCTTCTCACGAGATATTACATTCTATACACCTTTTCCAATGCAAAAATCACACGATTGCGCGCGCGCACACACGCACACAACTAGTTAGTGAACACGGGTCGATTCGCCCATCATGAAGCCCTAATCAGCTGTTATCATTTGGATACCATGCACTAAGGAACACTAACTCCACATTACAACCGAAGGCCGCAGAAACGAAGCACCAAAGAACATTTTAGGATGAGCGAATCGATTACTGTCTTGTAAACTGGAGTAACTTAAATCCTTTTATGTTACACATTTCGAAACATCGTTGCGAATTCTGCAGTTTTCCCGATGATTGCCTGAGTTCATCACGATTTCTGAGGAGAACCAGGGACAGACAAACATGAAATAAAACAATAATTTCTTAGTTATCATTTTTACTTCCTTTTCTTGAATACATTATGATGCAGATGGCCAATGTTTGGATTAGCCCATTCGGTTTTTCACAGGCACCAGGAATTGTTGATGACGATGTTCGGTGTGTAGCTCTGGGGTAAGGGTTTGAAGTCCCGACCCAAATGTTCACGGTTCGAGTCCTGACAGGGACACAAAAATTACGCACCACTGACGAGACCTGATCAAAAGGGAATAATTGTCCAGTGCTCTTTGTCGGTTATCACAAACATTTCCACCGCATTAAATATTATAATCCAATTTTCAGGATGGGGTTAAGCGACCAATCAAACGACTGCCGTACAACACACAATGGGACAAGTTAGGCGTGATTCCAACACCCGTCCTCCGAGGTGATAATTTGGTGACGTTGCCTTTCGGCCACTACCACCAGTATGTTTTGCTCAACAGAAAAGCAGTTTAAACAGTTTCGTCCCGTGTTCTTCGAGGAACTTGGTATCGACCTCGGGTGTGTTCATGAATTCTCTGTTTTCCTCCTGACACCGATTTGAGCATTACAATCTTCCAAATACTCCTTTATCCAAATGGACAGTCATGAGACAGTAACTCAACTCAACTCAGGAAAATGCATGGTTAATGGTTGTAAAATTACAACTGTGTTATTCGTCGTACACCGCGATGAAAAAGTAATACATTTTTGATTGGTGCAGTAATACCAGGTTGTCCAAACCAAAACGGGAAATTTTCTTTCGGATTCACACATGGCCAACCAACACCTGACCCACTGAAAAATAAGAATTTCGCCAAATTCTCACTTTTCAGTATACAAGAACAGGACGAGTGGTGCGGAATGTTAAAACTGAAAATGCTTTCTCCTGAAGTCTTTCATCGGAAATTTTTTTATTGAAAAATAGCATTTCAAGACTAACACTTTTTCAATCTAGTGTGGTCAATTCTTTGTGCTTTCACAGTCGCTACCGGTGAATCGTTTTATCCTCACGCATCCACTACTAGCTCCGTCTGTCACGACGCATTTCTTATGATGGAATGTGATTATTTTGAGTGATAAGTGGCTAGACGCTAAAGACCAACGTGTGAAGGTGAGTATGACCATTACCAGTATCAATCTTTTGGCTTGCCAATCAACGTACGCAAAAATCCAAATGAGATAGTACCATCGACAAAACACATCAGCTTGTAGTTTAGACTTTTATCTCACACGGTACATGTTATGCGCTTGGTTTTTTTGTGTGAATAATCTGATATTGTTTATTGTCGTCCTCATTTGATGTCCGCGCAATCTGATTGTTGGGCCATTCTTTAGCGATGTTAGAATATCAGGGACTCCATTCGCTTTTTCGATAATTTTCAAACCGATCAAGTTGCGGATTCCTATGGTTAGCAGCCAACGTGTGTTCTTTATATCTCGGATCATATTGGGTGTGGTTTTATCAAGCGCAAACAGTACCGCGTCTGTGTGAGAGTAGTACATAAAGCATAAGGGATTCGTGGTTAGTGCATACCTTAGTGGTATCTCGTATTTCATGTCATCCCTTTTTTAATCAAATCTTGACTTAGTTCGACCCAGGTCTGAGACACTACTTATTCATTGCAAATTCAAACGTTCCATGTTGAGACGGATGAAAATGCGTCGGGGAAGGATAGATAGTTTCCAATCTGTTGGTTAATCCCATTGATCGACCGACCACTCGATTGATGTACTTTAACTGTGTCATTTAGAGAAAAAGTAACAATAAGGTCACTAGCAACCGATTTACCAAGCTATTCCAACGAGAGGTGAAGATTTGCTCTGGGTGTTGCACATCACCGCTAAATATCCTCTGCATAGCAATCAGCAATAACTACTGCTCATACAGACATTGATATTCTTTTATCTGATTCTGTAAACCGCGGTGCCTTCGATCATGGAACTAAATAAAATGTTCGTTTTCTAGTCCCGGGACTAAAACACCACAGGCGAACTTTAAGTGATTCTATTCAGATTTCGTATGTTAAAGAATACATGGGATAGCTGGTGATTGTGAAGTACGTGCAGCATCTGTCCCGCGAGTGCCCTTCGATTAGCTCCACTGCACTTGCACGCCCTCCGTCACATTGTGGGATTTTTCACATTTTCACTGACTGTCATACGCCGTCGTTACTCCCGGGATGACATTATTTGTTTCAAACGTGCCAGGACAAGCTTCGATCGTTCACCGGTTTGTGCGACTCCATTTTCTCACTGTCCAGGCTGGACCAAAACAGGCAAGCGTGCAGGATGGCAAGCTGCCCTTAGCTGCACCCCGCTGTCAAAGATGATTGTCCCCTCATTGGTCAGCACCAACACTCGGTCCCTGTTTCTCAAAATGTCAAATTTAACTAGTGTCCTCCGATCAAGAATTCATACGAACACGTGTGCAGTCTGCGTTCAAGAATCCTGGTTGAATAAGGACGTAG